TGGGACCCTCACCCAAAAAAAGGGACCCCCACCCGAAACGGGACCCCCACCCAAAAAGGGAAATGCCCTCCGGGAATGGGAAACAACCCGGGATGGGACCCCCGACCCAAAAAAGGGAACTCCGGGGTGGGACCCCCGACCCAAAAGAAGGGACCCCCGACCCAAAAAAGGAAACACCCCCGGGGGAGGGTAACGCCCCCGGGGTGGGACCTGCAGGAAACAGCCCCGGGGTGCGACCCCCGACCCAAAAAAGGGAAACGCCCCGGGGTGCGACCCCTCCCCAAAATGGAAACGCCCCCGGTGTGCGACCCCCTGCCCAAAACAAGCGAGCCCCGACCCCAAAAGGGAAACGCCCCCCGGGAGTGGGGAACGCCCCCGGGGTGCGACCCCCGACCCAAAAAAGGGAAACACCCCCGGGGTGGGACCCCCGACCCAGAAAAGGAAACGCCCCCGGGGTGGGACCCCCGACCCAGAAAAGGAAACACCCCCGGGAACGGGAAACGCCCCCGGGGTGCGACCCCCGAGAAAGGGAAAGATCCGAGATGGGACCCCTCCCCAAAAAGGGAAACACCCCCGGGGTGGGACCCCCTGCCCAAAACGGGAAACACCCACCCAAAAATGAGACCCCCGACCCAAAAAGGGACCCCACTCCCCCAAAAGGAGGCTCCGGTCAGAGCCTCCGGTCACTTTTGGGGTCACTTTGGAGTAATTTTGAGGTCACTTTTGGGGTCGTTTTTGGGGTTTCAGGGGGGTCTGCCCGCAGCAGCTCCAGGGAGCCCCAAAATCGCCTCGAGGAGCCCCAAAATCGTCATGAGGAGCCCCAAAATCACCACAAAGAGCCCCAAAATCATCGTGGGGAGCCCCAAAATCATCGCGGGGAGCCCCAAAATCACCACGAGGAGCCCCAAAATCGTCATGAGGAGCCCCAAAATCACCACAAAGAGCCCCAAAATCATCGTGGGGAGCCCCAAAATCATCGCGGGGAGCCCCAAAATCACCACGAGGAGCCCCAAAATCGTCATGAGGAGCCCCAAAATCACCACAAAGAGCCCCAAAATCATCGTGGGGAGCCCCAAAATCATCGCGGGGAGCCCCAAAATCACCACGAGGAGCCCCAAAATCGTCATGGAGAGCCCCAAAATCTCAGTGGAGAGCCCCAAAATCACCATGAGGAGCCCCAAAATCGCTCTGGGGATCCCCAAAATCACCACAAAGAGCCCCAAAATCACCGTGGGGAGCCCCAAAATCGCTGTGGAATTGAATGACACTCGCTGACACTCAGTGACGTTTGGTGACCCTTGATGACACTCTGGTGACATTTGATGACCCTTGGTGACATTTGGTGTCCCTCAGACGGACACGGAGCCCTGCCGGAAGTCGCTGGGGCCCAGCAGGGCGTTGACGAGCACGGGGTGGCCTCGGTGGCACTCGGCCTGCGCCGCCCTCAGCACGGCCACCACCCTGGCCTGGACGTCCCCCGCGGTGTCCCCTGTGCCATCCCCCGCGGTGTCCCCAGCGCTGTCCACGACGAAGCCGCGGCCGCCCAGCGCCTCCGCCACCGCGTGGTAATCTGGGGACACGGGTGGCACTGTCACCGGGGGTGGCACTGTCACCAGGGGTGGCACTGTCACCAGGGGGGCAGGGGGATGGTCACTATGGGTCACTCAGTGGTCAGTTGGTCAGTGGTCACTGTGGGTCAGTGGTCACTCAGTGGTCACTCAGTGGTCAGTTGGTCACTCAGTGGTCACTCACCGCTGTAGGCCAGCCCGCAGCCCACGGCGCTGCCCAGCAGGGGCAGCTGCTGTCCCAGGGTCACGGGTCAGTGGTCACTCTGTGGTCACTCAGTGGTCAGTGGTCACTCAGTGGTTATGGGTCAGTGGGTCAATGGTCAGTGGTCACTCAGTGGTCAGTTGGTCACTCAGAGTGACACAGGGGCAGGGACACAGGGACAGGGACAAAGGGACACAGGGACATGCAGGGGACACAGGGACAGGGACCTGGGGACACGCAGGGGACAGTGACACAGGGACACAAGGACTGACACAGGGACAGGAACCTGGGACATGGGGACAGAGTGACACAGGGGACAGTGACACACGGACAGGGACAAGGACATGGTGACAGTGACAGTGACACAGCGACAATGACAGAGTGACAGTGACAGTAACATGGTGACAATGACAGTGACAGTGACAGTGGCAGTGACAATAACACAATGACAATGACAGTGACAGTCACACAGTGACAGTCACACAGTGACAATGACACGGTGACAGTGACAGTGACACAGTGACAATGACAGGGTGACAATGACAGTGACAGTGACAATGACACGGTGACAATGACAGTGACAGTCACATAGTGACAATGACAGGGTGACAATGACAGTGACAGTGACAATGACACGGTGACAGTGGCAGGGACAGTGGCAGTCACACAGTGACAGTGACACAGTGACAGTGACAGTGACAATGAGAGTGGCAGTGACACAGTGACAATGACACGGTGACAATGACATGGTGACAGTCACACAGTGACAATGACAGTGACAGTGACATGGTGACAGTGACAGTGACATGGTGACAGTGACAGTGACAGTCACACGGTGACAGTGACAGTGGCAGTGACAATGACAGGGTGACAGTGACAATGACAATGACAGCAGCAGTGACCTTGTGGCGCACGAAGGTGTCGAACTCCATCAGGCTGAAGCCCAGGGAGCCGTCCCCGAACAGCACCCACACCTGGCAGTGCCACCCGGTGTCACCAGAGTGTCACCCGGTGTCACCGAGTGCCACCCGGTGTCACCCAGTGTCACTGAGTGTCACCCAGCGTCACCGAGTGCCACCCGCAGGTGGCCCTGGGGACTGTCCCCAAGTGTCACCCATGGACACAGTGGGTGGCCCTGGGGACCCTCTGGTCCCCCTGATGTCCCCATCCCCAGTGTCCCCCAATGTCCCCCCGGTGTCCCCACTGTCCCCAATGTCCCCGTACCGCCCACACCCCCCCGTTCCCCAATGTCCCTCAGTGTCCCCCTCAATGTCCCCATCCCCCAATGTCCCCATCCCCACCGGGACAGAGGGACATGGGGACAGAGGGACATGGGGACAGGGACAGAGGGACAGGGGACAGAGGGACACAGGGGAGAGAGTGACACAGGGGCAGGGACACAGGGACAGGGACAAAGGGACACAGGGACATGCAGGGGACACAGGGACAGGGACCTGGGGACACGCAGGGGACAGTGACACAGGGACACAAGGACTGACACAGGGACAGGAACCTGGGACATGGGGACAGAGTGACACAGGGGACAGTGACACACGGACAGGGACAAGGACATGGTGACAGTGACAGTGACACAGCGACAATGACAGAGTGACAGTGACAGTAACATGGTGACAATGACAGTGACAGTGACAGTGGCAGTGACAATAACACAATGACAATGACAGTGACAGTCACACAGTGACAGTCACACAGTGACAATGACACGATGACAGTGACAGTCACATAGTGACAATGACAGGGTGACAATGACAGTTCGCGGCCGCCGCGGCCGGACGCTGTAGGCGGCCGTGGCCACGAAGTCGCCGCCGTCGGCCACCAGGATGCTCTGGGGGGGCAGGACCTGCTCCAGGGCCTGCAGCACGGCCAGGGGGTTCAGGTGACACGGGGGGGACACCGCCGCCTTGGCCCTGAGGGGACACCGAGGTCAGAACACAAAACCCCAAAAAATCCCATAAAATATCCCAAAAAAATCCCACAAAAAATACCCCAAAAAAATCCCCCAAAAAATCTCGCAAAAAAAGGAAATTAACCCAAAAATATCCCAAACTGGGGGTGCAGCAGGGCCAGGGGGTTCAGGTGACACGGGGGGGACACCGCCGCCTTGGCCCTGAGGGGACACCGAGGTCAGAACCCAAAATCCCCAAAAATCCCATAAAATATCCCAAAAAAATCCCACAAAAAATACCCAAAAATACCCCCAAAAAATCCCCCAAAAAATCTCCCAAAAAAAGGAAATTAACCCAAAAATATCCCAAACTGGGGGTGCAGCAGGGCCAGGGGGTTCAGGTGACACGGGGGGGACACCGCCGCCTTGGCCCTGAGGGGACACCGCGGTCGGGGGGGACAATAAAAAACACACAAAAATATCCCAGAAAAATCCCCAAAAAAATCCCTCAAAAAATCCAAAATATACCCCAAAAAATGGGAATGAACCCAAAAATCCCCAAATTAGGGGTGAGGCCAGGGGGTTCAGGTGACACGGGGGGGACACCGCCGCCTTGGCCCTGAGGGGACACCGGGGTCAGGTGTCCCCTCACCGGTTCCTGCTCTCGGTGCCGCTCTCGGCCTCCTGTCCCTGACCCCATGTCCCATGTCCCCCTGTCCCCATTCCTGTCCCTGTCCCCTGTCCCCATCCCTGTCCCTGTCCCCATGTCCCCTGTCCCCCTGTCCCTGTCCCTGTCCCCACCCCAAACCGGTTCATTCTGACCCCAAACTGGTTCATTTGTGTCCCCAAAGAGCCTCACCCTGCACGGCCAGCCGGGGTTTCCAGAAGACATCGGAGTTGCGCAGCAGCTGCTCCCGGTCGCGGTTTGACCCAAAACCGTCTCATTTTGATCCCAAAACCTCCTCATTCAGACCCCAAACCGCCTCATTCTGACCCCAAACCGGTTCATTTGTGTCCCCAAGTGCCTCACCCTGCACGGCCAGCCGGGGTTTCCAGAAGACGTCGGAATTCCGCAGCAGCTGCGCCCAGTCGAGGTTTGACCCAAAACCGCCTCATTCTGACCCCAAAACCGCCTCATTCTGACCCCAAAACCTCCTCATTCTGACCCCAAACCGGTTCATTCTGACCCCAAACCGGTTCATTTGTGTCCCCAAAGAGCCTCACCCTGCACGGCCAGCCAGGGATTCCAGAACACGTCGGAGTTGTGGTTTGACCAAAAACCGCCTCAATCTGACCCCAAACCAGTTCATTCCAACCCCAAACTGGTTCATTCCAACCCCAAACTGGTTCATTCCGACCCCAAACCGGTTCATTTGTGTCCCCAAGTGCCTCACCCTGCACGGCCAGCCGGGGTTTCCAGAACACGTCAGAATTCTGCAGAAGCTGCGCCCGGTCGCGGTTTAACCCAAAATCGCCTCGTTTTGACCCCAAAACCTCCTCATTCTGACCCCAAACCGGTTCATTCCAACCCCAAACCGGTTCATTTGTGTCCCCATTGTCCCCATTTATGTCCACAAGTGCCTCACCCTGCACGGCCAGCCGGGGGTTCCAGAACACGTCGGAGTTGCGCAGCAGCTGCGCCCGGGGGTTCCAGAAGATGTCGGAATTCCGCAGCAGCTGCGCCCGGTCGCGGTTTGACCCAAAACCGCCTCATTCTGACCCAAAACCTCCTCATTCTGACCCCAAACCGGTTCATTCCAACCCCAAACTGATTCATTCTGACCCCAAACCGGTTCATTTGTGTCCCCATTGTCCCCATTTGTGTCCCCAGAGTGCCTCACCCTGCACGGCCAGCCGGGGGTTCCAGAAGACGTCGGAGTTGCGCAGCAGATGCTCCTGGTCGCGGTTTGACCCAAAACCGCCTCATTTTGACCCCAAAACCTCCTCATTCTGACCCCAAACCAGTTCATTCCAACCCCAAATAAGTTCATTCCAATTCTGACCCCAAACCGGCCCATTCTGACCCCAAAACCACCTCATTCCAACCCCAAACCGGTTCATTTGTGTCCCCATTGTCCCCATTTATGTCCACAAGTGCCTCACCCTGCATGGCCAGCCGGGGGTTCCAGAACACGTCGGAATTCTGCAGCAGCTGCTCCCAGTCAGGGTTTAACCAAAAACCGCCTCATTCTGACCCCAAAACCTCCTCATTCTGACCCCAAAACCTCCTCATTCTGACCCCAAAACCTCCTCATCCTGACCCCAAACCGGTTCATTCCAACCCCAAACCGGTTCATTTCTGTCCCCAAAGTCCCGATTTGTGTCCCCAAGTGCCTCACCGTGCACGGCCAGCCGGGGGTTCCAGAAGATGTCGGAATTCCGCAGCAGCTGCGCCCGGTCGCGGTTTGACCCAAAACCGCCTCATTCTGACCCCAAAACCTCCTCATTCTGACCCCAAACCGGTTCATTCCAACCCCAAACCGGTTCATTTCTGTCCCCAAAGTCCCGATTTGTGTCCCCAAGTGCCTCACCCTGCACGGCCAGCCGGGGTTTCCAGAAGACGTCGGAGTTGCGCAGCAGCTGCTCCCGGTCGCGGTTGACGGCCACCACGGCGGTGCCGCGGCCGAAGAGGCGCCCGTAGGACAGGCGGAAATCGCAGACGGTCCCTTGAGGACACGGGGGGAGGGTCAGGAGGTGACAAAGGGACACGGCGAGGTGCCCCCGCGCCCCCAGAGGTACCTGCCAGCAGCACCAGGTCGGCGTCGCGCAGCGCGTCGCGGCGGTTCTGCCGCAGCAGCAGCGGGCACTCGGGGGGCAGCAGCCCCCGCGCCGCCCCCCCCAGGTAGCAGGGGACACCCAGGGACTCCAGCGCCGCGCTGGGGACACACCAGGGGACAGTGGGGACAAACTGGTTCACTTTGGTCCCAAACCGGTTTGATTTGGCCTCAAAACTGGCTCAATCAGGATCCCAAACTGGCTCCATTTGGCCCTAAAAATGGCTCAATCCAGACCCCAAACTGGCTCCATTTGGCCCCAAAAATGACCCAATACAGACCCCAAACTGGTTCCATTTGGCCGGAAAAATGACCCAATCCAGGTCCCAAACTGGTTCCATTTGGTCCCAAAAATGACCCAATCCAGGTCCCAAACTGGCTCCATTTGGCACTAGAAGTGGCTCAATACAGGTCCCAAACTGGCTCCATTTGGTGTTAAAATCAGCTCAATTGGGGCCCCAGACTGGCTCAGTTTGGCATCAAAACTGGCTCAATCACGGCCCCAAATTGGCTCAGTTTGACCCCAAATCCAGGTCCTAAACTGGCTCCATTTGGCACCAAAAATGACCCAATCCATGTCCCAAACTGGCACGGTTTGGCCCCAGAATGACTCAATCAGGGTCCCAAACTGGCTCCATTTGGCCCCAAAAATGACCCAATCCAGGTCCCAAAGTGGCTCAGTTTGGTCTCTGACTGGTGCAGTTTGGCCCCAAAACTGGCTCAGTCTGGCCCCAGAAATGGCTCAATCCAGGTCCCAAACTGGCTCCATTTGGTCCTAAAAGTGGCTCAGCTGGGGACCCAAACTTGCCCAGTTTGGCCCCAGAATGACTCAATCCAGGTCCCAAACTGGCTCCATTTGGCCCCAAACATGACCCAATCCAGGTCCCAAACTGGCTCCATTTGGCCCCAAAAATGACCCAATCCAGGTCCCAAACTGGCTCAGATTGGCCCTAAAAATGGCTGCATCCAGGTCCCAAAGTGGCTTGGTTTGGGCCCAAAATCAGCTTCATCCAGGTCCCCAACTGGCTCCATTTGGCCCCCAAAATCAAACTGGCTCCATTTGGCCCCAAAAATGACCCAATCCAGGTCCCAAACTGGCTCAGATTGGCCCTAAAAATGGCTGCATCCAGGTCCCAAAGTGGCTTGGTTTGGGCCCAAAATCAGCTTCATCCAGGTCCCAAACTGGCTCCATTTGGCCCCAAAACTGGCTCAATCATGGCCCTAAATTGACTCAGTCTGACCCCAAATCCAGGTTCCAAACTGGCTCCATTTGGCCCCAAACATGACCCAATCCAGGTCCCAAACTGGCTCCATTTGGCCCCAAACATGACCCAATCCAGGTCCCAAACTGGCTCCATTTGGCCCCAAAAATGACCCAATCAGGGTCGCAAAAAGGCTCTGCTTGGCCCCAAAAATGGCCCAATCCAGGTCCCAAACTGGCTCGGTTTGGTCTCTGACTGGTGCAGTTTGGCCCCAAAACTGGCTCGGTCTGGCCCCAGAAATGGCCCAATCCAGGTCCCAAACTGGCTCCATTTGGTCCTAAAACTGGCTCAACTGGGGAGGCAAACTTGCCCGGTTTGGCCCTAAAAATGGCTCAATTCCGATCCCAAACTGGCTCCATTTGGCCCCAAAAATGACCCAATCAGGGTCGCAAAAAGGCTCTGCTTGGCCCCAAAAATGGCCCAATCCAGGTCCCAAACTGGCTGCATTTGGTCCTAAAAGTGGCTCAATAAAATCCCAAACCGGCTCCCTTTGGTCCTAAAATCAGCTCAACTGGGGTCCCAAACTGGCTCCATTTGGCCCCAAAACTGGCTCAATCACGGCCCCAAATTGACTCAGTCTGACCCCAAATCCAGGTCCCAAACTGGCTCCATTTGGCCCCAAAAATGGCCCAATCCAGGTCCCAAACTGGCTCCATTTGGCCCCAAAAATGACCCAATCCAGGTCCCAAAGTGGCTCCATTTGGCCCCAAAAGTGGCTCAATTGGGGATCTGAACTGGCTTGGTTTGACCCCAAAACTGGCTCAATTACAGAGTCAATCTGGCCCAGTTTAGCCCCAGAACTGGCTCCATCCAGGTTCCAAACTGGCTCCGTTTGGCCCTAAAAGTGGCTCAATTCACATCCCAAACTGGCCCCATTTGGCCCCAAAAGTGCCTCAATTTGGGACCTGAACTGGCTTGGTTTGACCTCAAAAATGGCTTCATCCTGAGCCCAAACTGGCTTGGTTTGGCCCCAAACTGGCTCCGTCCAGACCCCAAAGTGGCTCCGTCCAGACCCCAAACTGGCTCCGTCCAGACCCCAAAGTGGCTCAGTCCAGACCCCAAAGTGGCTCAGTCCAGACCCCAAAGTGGCTCAGTCCAGACCCCAAAGTGGCTCAGTCCAGACCCCAAAGTGGCTCAGTCCAGACCCCAAACCGGTTCTATCCAGAGCCCAAACCGGTTCTATCCAGGCCCCAAACCGGCTCCGTTTGGTCAGAGTGGCTCAATTGGGACCCCAGTCCGTCCCAGTCCCTCCCAGTGTAACCCAGTCCCTCCCAGTATAACCCAGTCCCTCCCAGTCCGTCCCAGTCCCTCCCAGTCTGTCCCAGTCCGTCCCAGTCCCTCCCAGTCCCTCCCAATCCCATCCCATTCCCATCCCAGTCCGTCCCAGTCCGTCCCAGTCCGTCCCGGTCCCTCCCAGTCCCTCCCAGTCCGTCCCAGTCCGTCCCAGTCGGTCTCACCGCAGCTCCTCGGGCTCCGTGGGGGGCAGCAGGGCCTGGCTGCCCACGAGCACCAGCGGCCGCTGGGCCCGGCTCAGCAGCTCCGAGCACAGCTGGACCTGGGACAGACCCGGGATTAGCCCGGGATTAACCCCAAAGGGCCGGGATTAACCCGGGATTAACCCCAAAACCGGGATTAACCCGGGATTAACCTGGGATTAGCCCCAAAGGGCCAGGATTAACCCCAAACCCGGGATTAACCCGGGATTAACCCCAAACCCGGGATTAACCCGGGATTAACCCCAAAGGGCCGGGATTAACCCAACAGGGCCGGGATTAACCCGGGATTAACCCCAAAGACGGGATTAACCCGGGATTAACCTGGGATTAACACCAAAGGGCCAGGATTAACTCGCGATTAACCTGGGATTAATCCGGGATTAACCCCAAAGCCGGGATTAACCCGGGATTAACCCGGGATTAGCCCCAAAGGGCCGGGATTAACCCCAAAGAGCCGGGATTAACCCGGGATTAACCCCAAAAAACTGGGATTAACCCGGGATTAAGCCAGGATTAACCCCAAAAAACTGGGATTAACCCGGGATTAACCCAAACAGAGCCGGGATTAACCCATTTTTCCCCCCCATTTTGGTTTTTTTTGGGTTTCTTTGGGGTTTTTTGGGTTTCTTTGGGGTTTTTTGTCTCTCACCTCCTTTGGGGTTTTTGGGCTCTCACCTTTTCTGGGTTTTTCCCCCCAAATTTTAGGTTTTTGCCCCCTGATTTGGGGTTTTTTCCCCCATTTTGGGTTTCTTTGGGGTTTTTTGGGTTTCTTTGGGGTTTTTGGGCTCTCACCTCCTTTGGGGTTTTTGGGCTCTCACCTTTTCTGCCTTTTCCCCGCCAAAATTTTGGTTTTTTGCCCCCTGATTTGGGTTTTTTTCCCCCATTTTGGGTTTCTTTGGGGTTTCTTTGGTTTTTTGGGGTTTCTTTGGGGTTTTTGGGGTTTTGGTCTCACCTCCTTGGGGCTGGCTCGGGGCAGGCTCAGGGGCAGCGGGCTCAGCTCCCGCGGCTCCCAGGCGCCCGCAAACAGGTCCGAGACGTAGTTCCTCAGGTACCTGGATGGGATTTTATAGGGTTTTTGTGGGGTTTTTGGGTTTTTATGGGATTTTGGGGTTTTATGGGGTTTTTAATGGGGTTTGGGGTTTTTTAAAGGGGTTTTTGGGAGGTTTCTGGGGGGTTCTTGTGGGGTTTTGGGGTTTTTAATTCTGGGGGGTACTTGTGGGGTTTTGGGGTTTTTAATTTGATTTTTGGGGGTTTTATGGGGTTTTTGTGGGGTTTTATGGGGTTTTGGGAGGATTTTTATGGGGTTTTTGTGGGGTTTGGGG